CCAATGCGAATGTCCCGTCTTGCAAAGAGACGTCTTAGCGCAAGCAACGTTCAGTGGCAGGAGTGTGGAACCCACAGAAGGCGAAAAGACATCTGAATTTTAAAGAGCGGCTTCAAGGCATACGCATGTATGAAGCAGTCTTGACATATCTATTCATCATCAGCAGCAAAAGCATACTCAATGTGACCAGCCGCACAGTTTAGCGAAGTGCATTACGGTAACATAGTGGAGACTCACAAAGGGAAGAATTATGGCGTATTGGGCACTTCCGTATAGTACATGAAGTCGGCATCCTGAGGTAGTTTAAGATAGCCAATGCTACTCATACATGCATTTCTTTTCTAGCTCTGCCCTTGAGGTGTCCACGAAGAAGTGAGGAGAGGTTACAGATTGAGAATGCGATGCAAACGGCGCCCAATTATGCTATCGCATTCTACTCTTGAACTTGTGTCATCAGTCTTTTAAAGAACCTCCAAGGCCTTGAAAATCGCTTTTACATTCACGGTTTTCCCCCCCTGGTTCTGCTTGCGACGAAGCTAACATTTGCATGTGCGTTCAACACGACCAACTCGTAAATGTCAAGGACGTAATTCATAAATGTCAAGGATGTATATTCACATTCACAGTATACCCACACATCCGCAGGCCCCGCCGCGGTGGTCTAGTGGCTAAGGTACTCGGCTGCTGACCCGCAGCTCGCGGGATCGAATCCCCGCTACGGCGGCTGCATTTCCGATAGAGGCGGAAATGTTGTAGGCCCGTGTGCTCAGATTTGGGTGCATGTTAAAGAGCCCTAGGTGGTCGGAATTTCCGGAGCCCTCCACTATGGCGCCTCTCATAATCATATGGTGGTTTTGGGACGTTAAACCCCACAAATCAATCAATCAATCAATCACACATTCGCAGACGCTAGTGCCAGCACTTCCCTGGCGAGCATTGTACGAAATGGAGCGTGAACTGCCTGCAGTTAGGCCTTCAGAGATATCTCTTAAAACTGTCCATGAACGTTTCACGCCATATCAGTAGACTGCATTTCGACAGGCTTTGAAGAATACTTCCTACATCAAACAGCATGCCCGTTTTCATTACAAGTGATGCCACTTTCTGTCGGTACCCAACCGCCACACGTCGACATGTTTGGTGAACTCTGAATCTTCGCATTGACAGCTTCGCCATTTTTTAAAACATTCTAACTCTAAAGCGCACATACTTTAGCACCTGATAAAAAACAAGAGAAGCAAGGTCTTCCGACAAATATTCACTTTTGCTAAAACAGACCAACTGTTACTAAAGTGAACACCTAAGCACAACCTACCAGTTGACAGACAAAGCACCTGTCAACTGGCTGGCATTTATTTTATTTTTCTTTTATTCTCCCCATAGCTTCGCTCTTCGTTCAAGGCTACCTGCCAACTACTACCGCAGGCACAAACTTTCTGCATCAGGCTCGATAGAAAAAAAAAGCCCTGCAAAAGAATGCAGGAAGCAAGGCAGCTCGTACTTTTCCGAAATGATGCTAATGTTGTGGTAACAAGAGAAGTATAGATGTACAGATATATATGACATAACATACGTTGTTTGTAGGACATGTGTCTACTATCTTCAATGGACAAATATAGCAGCTCCATAGTGAAGATTCAGCGAAGGTTCGATTCAAGACATCAATGATAGGGTGACTAGAACACATTTAGTTAGCCGAATGTTTGATCCTATCGTCGTGTTCTGGTGAGTATTGTGAAACTCGCAGAACTATGAAAGAAAGAAGCCAGGTTTTTTAAAATGTGAAGTACTGGCATTAAGCTTTCGGCATCCGAGTGACTACCAAACGAACCAATGTCTCAGCATCAAGTGTTCTTTCGCAGCGAAGGTCTTGAAACTTAACTTGCTCATTTAAAACTAAAAAGAACGCATACCAGATGGATTTGACTACACACTCGCTGCATTCCAAGAAATTCTCAACAACTCAGTGGTACTTCACACAAACGAAACTATCTCTCAAGACATTCAAACTAATAAGAATAATATCAGATTTTACGTGCCAGAACCCCAATATGAAAGTATAAGGCATGCTGCAGAGAAAGACTGAAATTTCAATTACTTGCTGCTTTGCGATCTTTAATGTGCACACACATTGCACAATGCACCGGCCCCTCGCATTTCCTCTCCATTGAGGTGCAACCCCCATGGCTGGGTTCGATCCCGTGACATACGTGTTAGCAGCCGAGTGCCATAATCCCTATAACACCGCCACTGACTGTTTCAAGGCATCAGTAGCAGCCGCTACACTAGTAGCAACAAAAAAATGGCTAATTTTTTCACGCCAAGCCGGAGATCCACAACTGCGGCTTGCGACTATTGTCTCCAGCCGTATTCCTGAAAAGCCAAAAAAAAAAAAAAAAAACACTACCTGCAGCTGTTTTTTCGGACGAGTCTACCTAGCACAGAGCAGACCTTCGGGTAAGGGGATTTAAACAATGAAAATTTTCCTTTCTCTTCCCAGTTCCAGCTGAAACCTGGACATGTCGTTGTTTTAGTGACGTGTTGTAACAGTATTTTTTTATAGTCTATGAAAAAGCACAACCAGCTGTGAGAGCATGCCAACAGCACCATAAAACGTGATGGTGCACATCTTCACACGCATGTTAAGTCATGCTTATGTAAGCCACATTTCATGCAGGTTAACATTATTGTCGAAAGCAGAGACGAAGCAGCGAAGGAACTGCTAGAAGCATTTCTCATAGGAAGGAACGGGTCTGTGTCCATCACAGACCCGTTCACAGAACGGGCAGTACATACAGTACATCACAGAACGGGCAGTACATAAATGTCTAATCTTCGTTCCTTCGACCCAGTTTGGCTTCCCATAGCCTGCAGCAACTTAATCACAAGACGAAGTTGAGCAGTTCCACGGTTCATTTGGCCCTTTAAGGTTTCACCAATTAAAATCAGGTCACAAGGTTCGCGCGAAGCTGCTTTTTCATTCACAAAAAGAAAAGGCCACAAGATAAACAGAGCCCAGTTGGAGGCCATGAGCATGAAGAAAATATGCATATCTTTATACTAACTACCTTTCCCATGGTGACTCAACAATTGAAGCATCTCAATTCTCTCCTTCAAACAAACATTATAGGAAACAATGATCACATATACCCATAGTGAAGCATCAAGTCGCCAGAACTGACACAGTAGGTGAAGTCAAGCTAGTGTTCGTGCAAAAGATGTCGGTACCTCCTTAGGTTGTAATGGAGTATAGGGACAGTGGCAACCATTTTCCTCTTTTTTTTTACCTTTGCAGGCGGTCGATGCCAGACGCGGCTGGCGAAGTAGGGAGCCAAGTGGGGCACTTCGCGGGCCGTAACTCCTGGACTTGAATTCGATCATGAAGAAAAACAAAACCAGACAACTGCTTGCTCTCAAGATGTCGAGGGTGCGAGTACGCAAGTGTGGACGGAGAATGGGGCTGGCACGCGATTCAACGACGTCGGATCGGCGTCGTCAGAGCAACGCTATCGTTCCCGAACGGGGTACCCATCACAACCGAAGTTTAAGAGGCACGGCGGAATCTTTCGTTGCACGCAACACACGCGCACAAATCAGCAAATGTCCCCGGACTTTCTGCCGATACAGCGTTGGTTCGAAGTTTCGGCACCGACGTTCAACGCCTAGACGTCAAACTTGCTTGCTGTATCTCCCAAGTACAGTACATGAGCGTCCAACGCACTTTTTCGGGTACGGCGTAGCGCCTTTTGCTAAGACCGTTTTGGTGCGTCGAGCGTAGGAGGGTTTTTTTTTTTCTTTTTTTCATTTCGCGACGTGGGCAGACCGTTGGCGTTGTAGCTAAGCCACTCCTCTCCGAAACGCAATTGTCGAGAGGCAAATCGCGTTTGTAGGCGAATCACGGCAAAAATGAAAAAAAAGCGACAGAGCAAGAGGCGCGTTCGAAACATCGGCAACTAGTGCTTCACAAGTACCCAAACATCGCACCGAAACCAGCTTTCATGAACGCCTTTTCCCAATCAGACTGCATTTCGAAGCCTTCGCAGGGAATCCGGAGCCCCGTACGGTCGGTATCAATGTTTTGTTTTCTTTCGAGCACGCTGACCAGACGTCCAAAGCAACTCATGCCCAAGGACGGGTCGGCAATGTCAACGGTGTAGTTCCAGTAGCAGACTGAACAAAAAAAAATAAAAAAGAAAGCATACCGGTTGGCCCGGTATCGAGTGATTGGAAGGAAGCGCGTAGTTATGCATTCCCCCGGCACCAATAATCGTTTAATAAGCCTACGCCACTCCAACCAGCTTCACTATCAATATATCACCCGAGTACGATCAATGCCTCTGATCGATGCCAGAGCGTAGCTTTGACACCGGAAGCCACCACCAGCAAGAAAATGCGGGGGAGGATTAGAATTAACCTTTCGCCTTTTCTTTCCTACATTTTTTTTTTATTCATGTGACTCCACCAAAATATATTGCAGGTCTCCTGCAGTCCACGCCAGCGCGCTGTCTGCTTCGCGTTCTTTCATTCGAGTTGAACGTAAAGTTATTCCGACAGTTCCGCAAATGTGTGTACACCGGCACTTCCTATGCGGAGGGGGGGCTTGACTTTAGGTTTAGCGACGGGAACCCACCCCCACCCCCTTCCCTGGGATCAATTCCTAGCTAGCTTGGACATTATGGAAGGTGCTATCATTCGCAAAATCACGGGCGATGCCTGGGGTTGACCCGGGAAAATAGTAGGCGGTGCCCATTCAAAAGGAGAAGAAAATAAAAAGTGAGCACTTGGCAGATTTGGTTGTCTCTGTGGTCGCGACCTTCGCAAAGGCGAAGCGCATTACGTAGGGGTTGGCTCTAGGTATGACTGGCATCTCGACGAGGTGAAAAATGAAGAGGACACGCTCTTTCGCAGAGTGTTCGCTCAGGGTGGCTTTGTTTTTGTTCGCTACGCAGCTAACGAAGGCAACGCCGAGGGGGCAAAAAATATAATGAAGTTCTCTTTACCTCGTAACAATGGTAGAGGTTGAAGCTCCACATCGTTGGCGGATCGGTAGCGCGAAGATCCCTGCGATTTGCGTTGTTTGCGCTTGAGCGATCCCTTCTTGAAGGGGTCGATCTTGTCGACAAACGTCGCCGAAGATGACACCGGGTGTGATCCAGAGTGAGCCGACATGTCGCCCGGTCTGCCGTTTTTTCTCGTTTCCTAATCGCCGTGCGCGCACTGTTACGATGTCGTGGTGGTGGTTGGTGTTACGAAAAACGAAGAACAGCACTTGGAAATCTTTCTGCAGGCTCGTCGGCAGCCTAGGGCGCCGTGCGCCGCTCGTGTGTACCGGCGACTCCTTGGCTCGACGGGAACCTCGGGCACCCGCGTCGTGGTCTCGGCGTCCTCAGTGCGACGTCCAAGGCGTGCCGACGGCACCTCCGGGTGCGAACTTCGGATCCATGCCCCCTGCGTGGGATCCGACGGGGGTTCCCTTCTCGTTCACGATAAACAAGCGACGGTGGAGGGCTTTTTTTTTTTTTTCTTTTTTTTAGGCCTAAGCGGCGTCGATCATCTCCGGACTCTTAGGCCTAACATCGCCGCCGCTGCTGCATCAGTGGTGGTGCTGTCGGTAGAGCTTCATCCATACGTAAAATATCCACCGGGACCGCGGGGTTTCGGCGCTTCTCACAGTCGTGCCTCCTACATGACGGCCGAAGCTCTCGCCAACGTGCACATGAGAGCGAACGGTTTGGAAACAAACCCCCCTTCGAAGTATCACATACACTTTCACTCGGACCGAGCTTCGGAGCAGACCACTGAGAATTTTTTTTTTTTTTACACATAAACGCGTTCGGCAATTTCCGGAAGGCGCTCGGCTGTTCGGCTTGGCGTTACGCGTACTTCGGAAACGTTCGGCTCGGCCCGGCACAAGTGCCCACTTATCTCGTGTCAATCTGTGGAGGGCGCTGCCAATAGGTTACATTTATTTACCATAAACACAAAGTCCTGACACAATTTGAAGTAATATAATTAGCACCTCATACTGCACAATTTTGCAAAAATTTTATTAGTAGTAAAGGTGTTTTTCTTTGTTTCATTTTATTTTTAGATGTAGTGCGAAACAAGCACTTTGCCGAATTAGCTTTACAGTTTATTTTTAATTGGTTTAGTGATATTTTGGTTTGCTTAGCCGCTGGTTTAGCTTCGCGTGCGGGTACCCTAGAACATCATTAGCGACCGGTTTGGTTCCTTACCAATCTGTCAAAGCTGCGAAAGTAAAGCTGCATGGCAGTGCAACAAAACTGTGCGCCCGTTTCGGCGAGGTGATCAAAACATGGGCGACGTCTCGACGCAGACATGCCTCTCGCCGCGCGTTTGGAAAATGATCTGCGAGACGGGAGTGTCGGAAAATACCGAAGACATTCTTACGAAGACCCTTACCATTGACACGGTGCGGCTGAAGGGCGTGCTAGACTCCTGCGAAGGTGCCCGGATGCTTTCGTTGCCTTTGTGGTGTCTGTTACGACAGTACTGGCGACGAAAATCTTGACATGATCCGCGTGTGTCGGTCGCCTAACCAGTCCGTTTAGACGGATGCGCGTTTCAGTGAGAGCTGATGTTATCGTTATCACCCTGTTCCCTTGCCGTTCTTTTTGTGTGCCTGTAACGTGCTCTACAAACAAATGAGGCCAGTATTCACAAACCGAGCATGCGCTTATCTGTCGCCCTGATTACTGTTTCGTGTGCCCTTAAGCGTTAAGGGTACTGACGACACTGGTAAACGAGAGATGTTTGTGATCAAACAAACCGCCAATCGTTACGCGATGTGTCACGTGGGAGATCGCCAGCGCACGTGGTTGCACGTCATGGAAATAGTTCGGCCATGACCTCCGAGCGGCGGGTTTTAAAAGCCTGTCGGTGCGCCATCTCGGAGGTCATGCCGTGGGAAAAGTCAACTTTATTTCCACCCGGTGTCGCTGCTGTGATGCTGCGCCAACTTGGCGCTCAAAGCGCACCCTAGACCATAGTTTGCCACCAGGACGCGGGTTCGATTTCCTATGCCAGCAGCTGCATTTAGTTGTAGGTGAAATGCGAAAGTGCCCACGGACTTGTATATAAATAAAGGTTAACGTATTTGAATACAAGTTTACCCAATGAGGTCACTATTTATCTGGAGTCCGCTCACAATGGATTTACCTCGATCATATTGCATGTAAAACTACAGGATTAATGTTTCTTTGTACTGCCAAAAGTCACATTGTGATGTTTTAATGAATGACAAAAAAGTGCCGTCATAAATCTTCAAAATTTATGATAGTGTGCAAAATTCAATGTAATTAAATAGTACCATATTGTTCGGCAGACACTGTGAATTCGTTTTGAATACTAGTACTCAAAATTAATTCATGTCTATCCAGTATTGAGGTACCTTGTTGATATGGTACTTTCACAATGTCTCCCAATAATAAATTACTGTGTAAAATGCTAAAAATTAATACCTGTGGCAGCTACCAGTTCTTTTCTCCAGTTTAATGCTTAACCACCCGTCTTTGCCAGATTTACAAAATCACGCTTGTAAAACAGCATACATTTAATCCAAAGACCACACTGAGGCTGACGATATTGAATTCGTTGTTAAAAACTTCAGATGCCCTTAGTACGTCTCATTCCTGTCTGACCAATCTTTTTGCATTCCAACGGAGACAGCTTTTCTTTGTTAGTTTGCTGTTCTTGTACTACGAAGAGTCATTTTTCTACCATCTTACACGCTGGAATGAACACGGCGAACGTGCCGTACATTTTCTAGTTGCGGAAGGCCACGAGACATGGCACTCGAGAGCGTTGGAGGTTCTGTCGCCATCGATCCATCACATCAGAACAGCCTACATGGCACTGTCCAGGGAAGAATTTCGGGACAAGGCTGTAAGATTTTCCTTGTGGACAGATTCAGAGAAGGTATGGAGCACTGCATTTGATCAATGAACACATTGCCTTTGCCTCACTCAACATTCAATATACTCTCAACATTCAATATAACCAACCCGTATATGATGAAGTAAGTGAAGAATAGTCGTCCAATAGAGAGAGTCAATAATACACCTTTATAACTAATTTTTCGGTTATAACAAACTTAATTTTGTGGAAGGTGCACTTTGTTATGCACTCAAACCTCTTTATAACAAAGTTGCATCCCACAAGAAAACAAGTTTGCTATATCCGAAAATTCGCTATAAAGGTTTATTTCTAACGCTACATCTACTGCAAGACTATTTTCATTTACTTTGTTTTAACGAATGTTTTATGACATGTGGGTTTATTTTAGTGAGGTTTGACTGTACCATTTTCAGATGGTATTCAGTAAACTGTATATTAAAGTGGCATATTATAGCACTTTAGCACATTGTGGTCATTTTCAGACCTCTTTTTCTTCAATCTTGAAGGGGCACTGAAGTGAGACAATCATTATTTTGAAGTAGACTTACACATTCTGAAAGCTCTGTTCTCATTGATCTCCCACTGAAGTTTCCAGTTGGAACGTCACAGATCTCGAAATGTATTTTTGAACTTAGCCTGATTGGCTCAACAAAGAAGCGTGGCGGTTTGGGCTAGTTGGTACGTCATGACGATTGTTGTAGCTGCAAGCCGAGAACGACAACAAAGGGGCAAGAAGACGAGCGCTAAAGTGTCTACTTGTCTGGCACTCGTTTTCTTGTCCTTTGTCGTCGGTCTGAAGGTCACACGCTATAACAAACGTCATGGCTCAACAAAATTTTGCTGAAACTTGGCATGTCACAGCTCTGGCTACATCAAAAGACAATCTACTTCATTTTTATCGGGAACTATGCAGCGCCTAGTAAACGTCAAAATGTACGAGATCACAGAGACTGGCGTGAGAACTGTCAGGTGGCGCCACGACCCGCAGATTTATGTTGCATGTTTTACCACTTACCCAGCGTCCTCTCGCAGTGGTCCTGGTGTCCTTAGTATCGGGAAAGAGTAATTTACTACGAGAAAATTATTTCTCACTTTGGTGTCCCATTAAGAAGGCATCAAAGTTAAGTCTGTTGCATGTAGCCACAGCTTTGGAGTTGGCCCCACACGTGAAATTCTTCAAAGTTTCTGTTTAACAGAGTTGTTTTAAACTGTGCTTATAAGTGTAGTTGAGTATGAATATTTACGAACCACACAAGCTCACACATTCCACTGATAAGAAGCTGCTCAACATTTGTCATGATGAGGAATTTCGAACTTGAGGACGCAAGTTCAGGCTGAAATTTTGAGACAACAAGGAACTTCGAATAAAAGTGGAACGACTGCATGATGAGCGATAAAACGAAAATGACAGTCATGATAAGACACGGGAAGACAGCAGCGTGGATGGTAGAACAAACAGATATATCTGATCGTTCATTTGTTGTTAAGAGGACTAAGTGGAGTTAGACTGGTTAGGTGGGTACGATAACTAAAAGCCTGTTAAAGTGGTAAACATAACTAGGACTGTTCAGTGCCTCTGTGCCTCCCGCATTTCTAAAATATTACACTTTGTTTGTTTATGTATTTTGTATACGCACACATGTGCACACATTAGGTGTGTGTCAACACCCATTCTTGAAAGGTATAACCTTGGTTAACGGAATGGTTACCAATTTGATTGAAATGCATTTGAGCAGGGGAGGCTGTTAAGTTTTTTGACAAGATTAAAAAGTTAGTAAATATAAGATGAGGTTCGATGGCTGAAGATTGGCGTGATTCAGAAAAGTGTATTGTTCTTCAGTGGGCATGAAAGACTCTGGTGAGGATGATTAAATCTGTTCTTTTTTTTTTACTGTTGTTGACACTACACCCAAGGAGAAGGAGGAGAATTGAAAGAGGAAGATCAGCGAGGTTAGCCCAAATTTTATTATAACAAAACCACCTCTGCCACGAAAATATTTCGTTATATTCGAGAATTTGTTATAAACGATTATTTGTAACAGCAGTACCTATGACAAAGCTTTTGATCGCTTACTTTGGTATAACTGATAAAAAGTTCTATCGGAATTCGTTATATCTTGGTTTAAGTGCACATCAATTGCGCCTCATGCTGAGGTATTGTAATTACATGTTCTTTTGCTAGACACAATATTAATGATAACTAACAGACTACAATGCCAAGGAAAGTATAGGAGATGTTATTAGAATCATAATGTAAATCTGAAGGAAGAAAAGTGCACGAAAAGATTGGAAAAGATTGGTCAGCTGCCGTCTCGTAATAAGACCACAGTACTGAGTGACGCCAAACAGGCAAGAAGAATGTTCCACACTCGTCGCCGTGGCGACAGGTGGCTCTGACTGATGCTCCCACGTTTAAATTACTGATATATACCCTACAATGTGGACGGACCGCAACCGTAGCTCAGTAGGTAGAGCATCGGCCAGCGTTATTCAAAGGTCGCAGGTTTGGGTGCTGCCTGTGGCAAGTTACCTTTTCATTCACCTTTCTTTCTTTACACTTATATACAATTACTTCTAATACTAACACCTATATTTTGCGTGGAATTATTGCCTGTTAGTTCTCATTAATATTATGTCTAACAAAGCAATGAGCCCTTAAATTACACTTTGCAATGTTCTTTTGCTGATGCTGCAATGAGCTGTATGCGCATTTGACTTCGCAGGACGTGCAGGACTGCTTTGCGTGGCTGCAGTGCAATGATCCTTGCGGGCCTGTCCTGGCTGTGCTTAGGATAACTGCTATCCTCGAGCGTTCTCTCGGCAATGTACGTGAAAAGGCCACTTTGGTTTGAAATACAAAGCTTAGTTTGAACAAATAATAGTTGCTGGGGTTTTTACATCTGGAAAACATAATATTACGATAGATGCCACATTGGACGTGCTTCGTAAATTTTAACCATCTCAGATTCTTTAATGCGCACCGAAATCTAAGTACACAGACCTCTAGCATTTCATCTCTACCGAAAGGCGGCCGCTGCGTCTGGGATTCGATCCCGCGACCTTTTGGTCAGCGGTCAAACACCATAATCACTAAACCACTGCAGCGGGCAAGTTTAGTTTCGAGGCGCAGGTGAATAGAAAAATAGCTTTTCCAGGCAGCAGCCACAGCATTGGTTGTGATTAGATTCGTCATATGTACAAAAAGAAGTTAAAAACAACTGTTTTTCCAGACTGGCATTTTTTTGTGAATATTTTAAAAATTGTAATATTTACAAAAAGCTGAATTTTACAGGTTCCAAAATAGCTACTGTGCATGCTTGAGCACGTATGTTTTCCTTGTGAACAGACTTCACCGCAAACTACCAGGCTAACTACCTTCAGAGCGCAGCTCTTGGGCCCCCGTTCCTGTTGGAGCGACGGCGCCGTCGTTGGTTGCATCAGCGTAACTGATAGAGCGAGCGAGAACGAAAGAGAACAGATTTTCAGTCTGTCGACAGCACAAGCCACCGGCCTCTAATTAACCTCGCTTTCTTCCTCTGCCGCGTGTGCTGGTTCTTAGAATGGAGCTCGTGCGCCTGCAGGGGCTCGCGTGTGCACTGCGGTTGGATTCGCTGGCGTAATGGAACTGTCTGCGTTTCGCTTGGTTCGCAACACCTGCAATGCACAGACCGGCGTGCACAGCACTTGGGTGCTGGAGGTTTTCCTTGCAATATGTAAGGAATGTTACATGGCTATAGCAGATAGTCCGAACTTCAGAAACTGTTGGCATTGCTCCAACATAAAGCTGCGTTCAGAATTCGCACCGTCGCGCAGCATTTCAGTCGTCGTTGAATTTTTTTCCTTCCACCACTGAACCGTGTCTTCCCTTTCTTTCATTTCTTCCTTTCTGTCTGCATTCAAAGGAATTTGTAATGAAGTATGAGGTTCTTGCACTGTGTTTCGAAAAGCATTCGTACTGCTTTTGCACGTTCGCTGGAATATGAAAGGGTGAACATACGTAGATTCAGAAAGGCAGTCTGGCCGAGAGGTCTTGGAAGAAAACATTCTTGCAGAGAAACAAACTTCCAGATGCTTGCAAAGTGTGCTGCCGGAACTGTTCCATATGTGGCAAAAAAGTCAATCATTAAGTATTGAACAACATAACGAATAATACATGATACTGCAATTCAGGAACCTTCACCTATCAAGATGGCTAAATCGGACGAAATCAATGAATACACGAGAACATCAGAAATACATACTACTCATTCGTATTCTCGCAGGTTCTGTTTGAAAAAGGAGTTAAGGTGCCATTTCTTCTGAAGGACATCCTGAATGCACCACAGCTACACGAAGCTTTCGGGCCCGAACTAGTGAGCATTCCAGATTTGTTTAATTTGGCAGCTGGTGTCTGTGATTCTGTGTAACAGCGGGGCAGTTTAGGGCTGAAGTGATGTGCTTGTAATCTGTTCGTACTTTCTGGCCAATTTAGCCTTCTAATTTCAGCTGCGAGAGTGAATTCTGACTAGAGGGAGAGCAAGTGTCAAGCTGAGGTGGGTGAGGGAGAATCCTTGTGTTGAGAGTTGAGCCTGGTCGAGAAAGGGCAGTGATGTGGAGAGGTTGAAGAGGATTAGAGAGGAGGATAGCAAAGATGAAGCTGTGGTTGGAGCAAAGAAGGTGGCGAGGAGAGGATTGCATGATTGGCTGAGCGGGTGAAAGGAGTCAGCCTATGGTAGCATGTGCTCCAGCTCGGATGACAGGAAGGGCAGAAGGAGAGAGGAGGAAGAGCGAGCCGACTGCCACCAGCTTCGCCGTTATATCAGCCTTCACAACATCAACTCAGTTGAAGTTACACATAATTTTTCTTTTTCTTCGACTGGCTGTTCTTTGGATATCCATGCAGATGACTCTTTTGCAAGTCATTGTGGGTTCCTCCGCAGTCTCTCAACCTGCGCAACGTCACGTGGCACGGATTCGTCAGGCCGGAGGAAGTCGACAGCAGGTAAATGAGCCCATCTTGGTGTGGGAATTTGTTTGGTCTTAGTGGGAGATCGGGGTACCTGAGCAAGAATTGGCCTTCTTTTTCATAATTAAAAAAAAATATATAATGGAATGAACGTGAATGATGAACGTTCTGCTGTTAGGGAAGGCAGTGATGATGATTGGTGGCTGTAGTTCCCGCTGTTAAGGATCGAAGGAAGTTGATGACGACAGCCCACCGCTGCCACCAGTTGAGAAGGGCCTGAAGTAGATGTATGGCAGGTACGGTGGGTATCTCTTTAGGGTAGCTGGCTTATTGCCGTCGTCCGCATAGTCGATCTTCGCCAGTGAGGGGACGCGTTAAGAGAGGTAGAACGAAGGTTTATTTACATTATAGAAGACAAATAGGAACTGTACAGGGATCGAGAAGATACCGCATTATGTACAACAGAGGTTCAGCTCATAATTCCGTACAAGATTCAGCTCACATAATTCAGCAAGATTCAGCCCAAGGTGCAGCTCAATTTACAAAGATGCTTCAGCTTTTATAGCCCACCGTCACCGCCGTCCAAAGGAGGCAGTCATCTCTCTTGCCACAAAGCAGGGGACGAAGTCTTTGTGGTCCACCCACCAGAAAGGGTGCAGATATTGCACCGCTCGGCTGGGCGAAACGGTCCAATGGTAACAGGAACGCACCACACAAAGACGCACCCGGCCCCACCTTGAAGGCACCGCAGGGTGAGGAGGTAGAGTCTGGAGAGGGAAAGTTGAGCTCCTCCGGGGAGATGGCCGCTAACCCGAACGTCAGCACCGGTCCATGCTGCTTTCAGCTGCAGGCAGTCCAAACGCTCGACTCCGGATGAGCGGCTTCTTCGGCGTGTTCCCACGCTTCCGGGCTGTCGGTGCATTGAGATGGCCTCGCGTAGATGACAAAAGCCCAGTCAGGAGGTTGTCTTAATGAGACCAGCCACAGTGGCGCCGTTCCCCCGCTGTTCGAGCCCGTTCAACAAAAGGCTTGTCTCACGAAGCTTTCATTGAGACCCGACTGCTTCCTGGAACGTCTACAGGAGAGCGCCTTGTAGACTGGGCGCCGATGGGGTGAAAGCCTCCCTAGTAGACCGGCTTACGCACAATGGTGTCTGCCCAGATGAATTGCCGGCCCAAACGTAACACCGCTCGCACACACGCTCGCCAGTAGCCTGACCTGCCTGATAAAGAGCCTTTCACTCAGCGTTTGAACCTTTCTTGACATACAAGCACCCCTATTTTGATATGAATGATTTTGTTTGCTTCATAGCAAAAGGATATGCATTAAGATGCAGTATGAGACACCATCTCAAGGGAAAAAAAAAAAGGAACAATCAAAGCAGACCAATGGCAATGTCATGCGATGACTTTCTTTTTGTCAAATTTATCACACTGTCTCCAGGAGTGCATCACCCCCCAGTGACACCGAGCACAGGATGGCATGAGCATGCAAGTCACATTGTACTGATCTTTGATGCAATGCAGAACTGGGCTGCACTTTAATAGTTAGACTGACCAAGCAGGCACACCCGGAGCACGAATTTTGGGAAATAAGGGATATATTATGGTTTTCTTTACTAATGTAAATTGGCTATTGAACACATTTTTTTGCACTGATGATATCTAGATAGCACTTGTTTTGTGACATAGCTGTGCAGAATAACATAGCAATAGCCTCATTATAACAAAGTTGCGCCTCGTAGCAAAATAAGTTTATGTCCTAAAATTCATTATAAAGGTATAATCTTAACTCTATATCTATTGCAAGACTAGTTTCAATCTACTTCGTTTTAACCGATATTTCGTTATATCTGGGTTTGTTCTATCAAGGTTTTAGTGTCGTTGAGATCTCTATGCATATGACCCATTAAGTTTTTTTGTCTATATTCACAGTACCAAATGGGCTTCTTATCAAAGCTTTATGTAATAGAGATGTTACATGGATGTTACATGATTAAATGTAATGTATGTCATGTCAAATGCAGAAAAAAAAAAGGAAATATATGCTGTACGTTCTGGAAGGTGCACTGTGATGCAATATTGCGATGTATACAAGTGACGAAGAATGTACGAGTTCTACTCAGCTAAAAAAGCAAGGAGCATGTGCAAAGCAGTAAAAATTCATACCTACATATGATTGGCTGTAATTGTCTGAGCATACCAGTAAATTCACACAAGATATATGATACTACATTGTTACACAATGGAACGTTTTAATGTTATACATTGCTACACAAAGCTCTATGGAAAAGCACGTCGAGAACGTAACACAACATTTGTATTGGATATCTCTGTATAGGCATTTAAAATGTAGATGCATACAACCCATCTATTTATCATTTCATGAAAATAGATGAACATAGCTTTGTGTGTGCTATTGTGTTTTTGGCTAGAAGAACCTAAATTCATCGAAACAGCTCGACAATTGAATGCCATCAACAATAAGTCATTAGTGGATGAATTCATTTGTGGTGATCTCGTGAGAAGCTTTCATTGTCAGAAAGCGAAGTGATGTGTGCATGATACCCTCTGACCTTACTACTACAAGATTGCATATTACATACAAATAAGCTCATTATATCTGAAAATTAGTTAAAGGTATACTATTTCTATTGCAGGACTATTTTTCATTTACTTTGTTACAACCGATATTTCACTATATTTGGGTTCTTTATATCGGAGGTATGAGTTATACATGTAGCAGTTGCAAGCAGATGAAGAAAAAAACCCTTGTCAACATTGTGCGCTGCCTGAACTGGCGTTTTTTTTTTTTTTGTTCTAACAGATATGCCTACCTCTTGATCTGCATTGTCTTTAGCATCGGAGAACAAAATTTGCAGCGCCACAGTGTTGATGATGTGAAAATGCAACGCCGAAAATGCTTTTCACTGGACAAGTACGCGTCAAAGCTGAATGACATTCGAGGTAAGCAGCTTCACGTTCGAATTCAGTCACAGCTATGATGACCACATTTTGCACCAAACATTGTTTTTCCCTGCCACGAAAATTGGGAATGTTGCACTTCACCTGGTTTTGCACTGCCTTCATGATCAGCCCACCTTGGCCCAAGTGACAGTGTCATATGATGACACCATCAGCCCACCTTGGCCCAAACGACAGTGTCACACTCGCTTGGGCCAAGGTGGGCTGATGGTGTCATCACTTGACACTGTCGTTTAAGCCAAGGTGAGCTGATCATGAAGGCAATGCTTCATCATGTGACATCACAATGTGAGGCCATAGTGGCATCATAAGGATGTTACAAATATTGGCAAACTGCCACGCGATATAATGATCATAGAGTTTCCTAAAATTAACGAGAGAGAACTTGGGTCTGCAATCGTTCACCCAACATGGGAATGATGGGTTGGATTTGCCTAGTGTTTGTGCTAGCGGCATTATTTATTGATGTTTTGCTTTTGTTTTGAATAAATGAACGAATCGTTACGAAATTCATGACCCGATTCGAGTTGGTGAGTAAAATAGGTCAAGTTGGTGACGTCCAACTGCTACCATTTGTCGATTTTTGTTTCATGACAAAGCAGCTCCAAGCCACGCGAAGCCAAACGAAGGTGGAAGTACGAAAATTAGACATATTGGTGTAATAATATACATAATTCTCACGCTGGCTGAAGCTTCACGCATAGCAGTTCCCATAGACACTAGCGCCAGAGTTTCCTCTAGTGTATTAAAGACGGTAGTCTTTCTTGGGGACCTTCAACGCAAAAAATTTGGTCTGTCTGTACATTTGTCTGTTTGTCCACCTCAACCACGAACCGGGTACTCTAAATAGCACCAGCCGATACCCCGAACGGCCGACCCCATCCGCAGTGCCCACCAATGTTGCTCAAGAATCAGCGTTCATATGTGTGCGATTGTCAATTAAAAAGCAATTATTGTGCATATCTGAGGCACCATAACAACACGTATATATTCTGCATGTTCGTCTTTCACTAGAAAGTGCATACATAAGTAATTCTAAGCACCGTAGCGCTTATCACGCTGTGCTGACCATGCAACGCTTGCACGAAGAAGCGAGTGTTTCCAACGTTTTGCTAGGACGACAAGGTGGTGGCACTTGCCCGTCGCCTTGCGCTCTACGCCTTATCACCTCTGAGACAGGCACACACACCCGTCTCAGAGGCAGATGTTTTGTTCTCCAAAAAAAAAAAAAACTGCCAGATGGCGCTCATGTCTCACATGTGATGTGACTTTATGCACTCGTTCGCCACCGCTGCACGCTCGAGGCACTTTAACGTAGCGCCTCCGGAATACCATTCACCGATTTTTTTGCGCAGAACATCAAATACAATGTTTTGTTCACTCTCTCCACACGAAAAACTATCGTCTTTCGATGACATTTGCGGATTACATGCAGATACGGGGCAATTTTTTATATGAAACTCTAAGATAGTGATGGTGACTTTTGCATCGCTCGTGTTGAACCCAAAGCTGTGAAACACCACTGATCCAGCCTAGGCACTTTTCTCGTTTGGCAAGGCATCGAAGGCTGGTGCTTTAATGTAGACGGTCCTTGCTGGTGATAACCTCTAATTTAGACTGCACCAGAAACAGGGGACACGGGGGAGGGGAGTGTACTTAGGTGTGGGTGCGCACTAAAGAGCCCCAGGTGGTTGAAGTTTCTGGAGCCCTCAACAACTGGTGCCCCTCATAATCTTGTATTGGTTGTGGGTCACTAAATACCAACATTTATTAAATGGGGAAAAAATAACTGTGCATCTATTTTCATTGCACTAAATGTAATGAATTGCAAATGAAAAGAAAGCAATTGCTTCATTTGTGAATTATAGTTACCGAAAGACTGAGTGGAACAAGGCATTGTACGATTCTGCAAGTATGCGTTTGCATTGAAGTATTGTTCTAGTCCAGATTTACACTCAAACCTTACTATAACAAAGTTGCATCATATCGCAAAAATAAATTTGTTACATTAGCAAATTCATTAAGGTTTATTCCTAATACTCTAAATATCTACTACAAGACTATTTTCATTTATTTTGTTATAATCCGTATTTCATTATACCTGGGTTCGTTATATCACGATTTAAATGTGTATTCATGTCTATTTTTTCTTATCGTTGCTCTTTCCTAGGTGTGAATTTCAATCCGGACGAGTTTCTGTCCATACTTGATTCCAGTTCTCTGGTTCTTCAGGGAAGAATGACATACTGGAAAGCATGCATGGAACTTCTAAGCAAGAGTTTGTGAGTGTCTTTTATGTATTCCTAGTGTAACTTAAAGCCACTGCAAAGCTCTCGCAATGCACTTTCCTGCAAACTGAAAAATGTCACTCCTTCTACAATGGTCGAGATTGGTCGTTTGTTGGGTTCCATCCGTAGTTTTTCCATTGAAGTGTTACTCTAGGATGCTGCCATTTAAAGAATTCTGGACTTGGGGAATTGACAGGGTGCGAGTGAAACTTGTAGCATTTAAAATAATATGTCTAGTTATTGCAGTTACAGGGAGACATAGGTAATACAGTAGTCACCCAGGCATTTTCGAGCCATGATAACAATACAATTTTTCGATCGTTATTGCCTCCCTTCTACAACTTCAAACTAAGCCATTGCGATCAGAAAACTCAATCTCTACGAGGCTCTATTGCAATCAAAAGTGCATCGTCTGACACGTGTTAATCCTGCTTCCAAGATGTTTTTCACTCATTGTTAAATATTTCGCAGATGTGACCAGGCATAACAGATTCTAGAGAAAAGGGAAAGCTTACGAGTCTAGTGTATATGTTTTTTTGCTGTTAAAACATTAACTTTGCATAAACAGCGATTTTTTAGCCTTTTGTAATGTCTTTAGTTATGTGCTTTCTGAAGGGGCACTAAAGGAAAATTACGAATCAGTTTAGATTTATGTATTGTATTTTGAGAACTTTTAACGTCGCTAATTTCACCGTGGCAGGGCTATTACAGAGGAGGAAATCAAGGTCGAAATCGCAATTTTCAATTTTGTGCTGAAATCTGCACGTGAAATTGCAAATTTGAAATTGTTTTTTTTTCTCTATTTTCGTGTCACTGGCTCCACTATATTTCCAGACACTTGCTATGTGAAGCCTGAGGCCCCCCTCAAAGGATGTACTTCATTTTTATAGATTAGGGACTGCATTGGTTCTAGTAAATTCCATCAAAGTTGTCATGGCATTTAGTGCGGGGACTTCAAGGTGGCATCGCCACCTGCATTTTCTTTTGACACATTTTCTCCCTTACCAAACGTGTTTTGCAGCAAGCGTGGCGACTTGGGAATCATAATAAGTACAAATATAAAAGAAATCACTTTCCTGTTCAGTGTCTCTGAGTGCCAGCATTGTATACGATGTGCAAGCTAGGTAAAAATGGCGCATATGCACAAATTTTACCACATAATTGCACCAACTTGTTTTAGGTACGCACAATGTTTAACACTGGCACTGCCCCAGTTGGAATGCATGCTGAGGGTCCTCTACACAGAAGTAAATGACTGCTCCTATCGCCTACTAACAGCAGAGGTAGGCACTATGCTATTTCCCATTTCACTCATAATTAGTTGCATGGTACCTAATAACTATAGAGCACAGGCTTGCGGTAGTTGTAACAGTCATATGCTTGACTGTCTTAGGAGCAACCTGTTCTTTGCTGCATTCTCATTTTTATGTCTGAACGAGTTGAAAAAATGAGAAAATGCTCGTGTGTGTGACTTGAATCAAGCCCGTACAATCACAGCATCAGCAGTTGCTTCTGAATTCACCGTTGTTTTTTTTCTTTCATGCAAAAAATATTCTGATGAAGTTGAACCCCTATTTCTGTGTAGGTCCACTGGTGTCTCATACCCATTTGTTTCTTATATGAGTGTCTATTACAAAAGGAAAAGGTTCATGAGCTGTGTTGTGCACTGATATGTAGAATGCATGATGATCCAAGGCAAACGATCATTCAGATCACGAGTGAGTAAGTTGAATTTAACCTAACCTTTTGCAATGTAATCATGCTTAACATAGTAAACATAGTGATGTTACAGCATAACTGAACTACATCATGAACCGATTTATCATAGTTAATGTCGTAACAACCAAAATAGCTTGAACTGAGCTAAGCAGAATGAACGTGATTTAGACAATTAGAGGACATAATCACCATAGTCTTGAAACACTTTTAAAAGCTAGTATTCAAACGACAGCAGTCAAATAACCCATAAATAACAGCAAAAGTGATTGCAATATTTATAAAGGTGTAATTAATTGGCACTCGTGCACAACAGATTACCAGCTTTTTAGCCGGTAAAAAGCGGCTACATTTAATGTAGCTAACAGAACTCAACTTCTAGCATGGGTCACTATGTTTCATTTAGGTATTTTTATTCTGGATAAGAAGCCTTACAGACCCACAAGGGGGCATAGGCTGAGGAAGAACTATGGTAAAAATCAGCACATAATATTGCGGGCGTGTTTGTGATTTGTCTTTCACTGTATTCAGGTTATGGCGACAATGACTGTCAGCATACTCAGCTCAAAGTGCGCCTTCAGTGTTCGAGAAACGTCACGGTTGTAGATCGTTTTGTCAAGATTGCATGCAAGACACAAACACTCGAGCTTGTTCCAGAGCTTGCATGATGACCAGTGATAAGACTGGAAAATTCGATGCGCAATATATATAAGACAGTTCATTCAAACAGTGACCAGTTTTATCGACAGCGGATGCTCTGTTCGCCGATATCAGTGTATAGTGCACATCTCTTGCTGTTGCTTGAGTTTACTACATTTTCTCGACCACAAGCTCTGCCAAATAAACAGTTTCATGTTGGACATGCCATCACAGGCCTTCGTCAACACTACGACCATGTGACAACATATTGGACGGCCAAACCGGTTAAAAATTGTCACAGAATGAAGGAAATGGTACACATTTTAGGAAACCTATTTCGGCCCATTCGTGATACTCGCTCGTCCCACTGACATGAATTACGTTGCCGTCCCGAGTGACGGCCAATAACCGGCGCTCGTGCATTACGCAAGTTGTTCGGGTAGCCCGCCTTGAACGGTACCATCGCAGGCATATTTAACTCATTGGCGATCTTCATCTGGCCCCGGGGAGAATACAACGAAGATGCACGCATGTACCAGGACTAGAAGCAGAGTAATAGAGCCGGCGCTTGTACTCTGTGGTTGGGTGAACCAGTCTGGGCTTGGCCCACAAGTACGTTTCTTCTTTGCGCCATTTCATTTCCTGTGTAAATAAACTCATTCCCTCGTAACAATATTATGGAATGATGCATAGGTTAGAAAGAAAATGCTACCTTGCATAACAATAAGATACTGCACAGAAATTGCAGTGATGTAATACATATATATTGAATTACTGCATCAGCTTTTCAAGACTCAAGTGGTTTAATTCATATGCATTTACAGTTCACAGAGATTCTTGCAAAAGGCTTTTATGTTGTTGGTCGCTCGTCGCCTCTGATAGCCCTGTATTTGGCCATTTCGGTCGGGAATGCCTTGCTTAGCTCCAGAAGCAGCAGTGCCTTGAACCTCTGTGCAACACAAATAAGAACAGTGAAATGTAGGGATCTCGGCTGACATCAGTAAAATATCGCAGCACGAACAATGATGAATCTTTACAGGAATTGAAAATTGAGCAAGCTGCTGTCAATTCACAGCTAAGGAACTTTTTCTAGCCGGGCATTCATTTTTATATCCACATATAAGAGTGGTTGGTGCAAATTTTGAAATGAAAGTGAAATCTTTTTTTTTCCTGCCACTACACACTTGCATGCAATCACGTGGATGCGCCAGCAGCACCAATTTTTTTTCTCAATAGTTCCTGTTTCAGCATATCTTATTTAATAACACTTCGATAGCATGTTAGCCGAAAGCATGCAACTGTTTGTTTTTCAGCAGCAGGATTTGGTTTAGATCCACAATTCTTTCTTTACCTTCTTTTTTCTGTCCTGGTGGTTTGCCCCGCCTTATACTGAATAGCGATTTGTCACAAGACCGCACACAGGATTTTTGAAATCGCAGCAGAAGAAGCCACCTTGACAATTAACTTGATTGTATTCCTGATCATTCTCAACACATACAGCCACTACTATGGAAGGCGCCGTAAACAAAGCGTGCAGAACCACGAGAACGCTACACTGCTTGCGCTACTCCACCACGGCCACCCATGTCCTCTCCATTCTCTTTTTCAATCAAAAGACAGCAACGCATCGGTAACTATCATTGCTTTGGATTAAATCGCATTTGAAGCATAGAACGTGGTAGCACATAAAATTACACGGAGCTGTTACGTTACTAAGAATCGTTTTTTGAGAGAGAGAGAAACATTGCTGTAAACCAAGTGCCATTTATTTTGCTGCCATTTCTTATTTAAACAGTAGCCTATAGACCATTATACGGATGGGTTTAGGTGCCACCATATTGGGTCAGTTAAGCTTTGTGGTTTGCAACTTTGACAGCTGGACAAAAGTGTCACGGTATGTGAATACAATGTTTTGTGGCCTAATTAATTCACATCACAATATACAAAAACAATAAAACATTGGCACGAGAGCACAAGATGGTGCCACCCATATGTCTTTGGTAAAATAGTCTGTAGCACGAGATATGGAAATGTTGCGAATTGCATCAAGGGTCTATAATACCATGGTATAACTGTGCTTTAAGCGTACGAAGAAACACAAAGATACACAGTGCAAGTGCTTTCTTGCAACTAAAACATTTATTGGAAAAAGAAGAATATATAAGCAGGCAATCAATAAACACCTTTGCATTCATATGAGAAAAGTTAGTTTTCAACTGAAGTGCAGTGACACGAGGTAAATACAAATGACACTGGATGAAAAAACAACTTGATTGCCGACACAGGTCAAACCCCTAACCATCACATTGCACGTGTGGTGCTCTACCCATTGGGATATAATGGAGGCTACTCCCCTGTCCACTTGTTTTTGGAAATTAGTGTATGTGCACAAAATTTAACCCTAGAAGTGTCAGCCTGAATCACTCGTGGCCACATTGACAAATGTGGAATATTCTCTTCACCCGATTCCGTATAGCAGTAGCAAGGTGAACCTTGGAAGGCAGAAGACCATTAAACTCTCGTATACTAAACAAAGGCACCAGGCCTACTGTTTGCACTTAATGTTGGCACAAAATGGGAAAGGCCTGGATCACGAAAAGGTGGCTCGCACAGTTTGGTGTTTAAGACAGTCAACATACCAGGCCTTCTGAAGCACATGCAAGAACCTTGCTATTTGTGCATCTCATAAGAGATCTACTTTTCACTTACATAAGAGATCTGCTAGCCACTTACGTTTGCTTTTCTGCTTGATGTATTTAACAAGTTTGGCCCTGCCTAAAGTGTTTATTACAGCGAAAAATGTTATGAAATCATAACACAAGTCGCGTGCGGCATTGTAGTTGTCCGCCACCGGTGTTCGTAACCACTAGCGCACGAAATAAGTTTAAAAAAAAAAAACTCATTAATAATGAACGTCATGCACACCATCGAATTCGAACCTGGGTCCCCTGCGTGCCAGCCCAGTATTTTACTACTGTCCTTAGCTGACCTTAGCAGAGCTTGATGTCGAGAAAGGAATCGTGTTAACACGAGTAATAAAGTGTTTTAAAACAGCAAAGGAACAGCTAGGCGTCACACAGTGCGACTTGCGTAACGATTGGGTCATCCAATGCTACAAGCAATTACAAAAGCTTGTTCTTGATCCCCTATTAATTGTGGTGCATACCCACTTCGTCCTCGTCAGCCACTGCATTACAAAATTCACAAAAAACCTCATGCAAGTGTGTAACGGACACCACGCTTCTCCGAAGAATAATGAAGGATAGCATATTGCATACCAGCCTACTACAAAAAAAAATATCGTTAATGGCAGTAATGGGTACCCCTGCTAGCGTGCCTTTAGCAGTTACCCAAACAGTGCTTAAAAAAGGCTCTGAAAGGCCGCTCTTCCAGCTCTCGCTGTGACTGCTGCGCATTCCACACAGGCCTGGCGGTTTTTCTGCCAGAAGCTGGGGATTTTTTAATTTTATTCCACGATTATTAAGAGCATGAATTGAGCACTAAGTACAAATATATATTTTGTTCACATACGTGTACTTTCCGAACGGTACCGGCGATCACAATTAGATAACAAACTGATACAGAGGGGAACAGCACAATCGCAGGACGAGAAAGAATCATCACACAACATAGCGGCTCCTCGATTTTCCACTTGTGGCTACCCGCGAGCTGCCAGAGCCAGCCAGAGCGCGCTTGTTTTTCTCAGGGCTGCTCCGTTCCCCCCGCGGCGCACTTCCGGTTGGCGTTCGTTTTTCTCGGCTTGAACAGTTTTGGCGACCCGCGGGGAGCCCGAGGGATGCCAGACGCTTCCAGGACAATTCAGTCGTGGAATCTTTCTGGGAGGTCTTGGGTAGGTTTCGGGCTAGCAGACGCCGAAAAGGAACGATGCGCACTCGGCGCCATCTTTGTGAGGATTCGATGGATTGCAATGTGGGCGCTTGAGGACTGCGCCTTCGCTTGTCATTATGCGTGGCATTATATTTTAAAGCCTGTTCCGCCTTGCGAGATGAGGCGATTACGAATGGTGGCAAGTGTTCGAAGCTACTGTTCATCACTTTTGTTATGTTTTTAGTGAAGCTTCTTTCTGTGGACAACGCGGCGAACTGTTGCCTGCTGTCTGCGTTTCGCACATGCCTCAAAAGTTATGTACTACATGTTCGTACACACGCATAGAGACAATATTGAAGTTAGTTTTTTTTTTTTTTTTGTAGTAGTCGTTTGTGAAGCTGTGCCTGCTTTCTGTGCACTTAGCGAAGACGATTGTGATCGAACAAGCTCGCTCTGTCATATGAACTAGCTCGCTCTGTCAACCTCTGTCCTGAATACTCGATTGGTCTTCGATGGTGATAGAAGGCCCTAGATCGCAACTGTTATGCTCATGGTCGCGAACAGCGTGCGAACTCGCTCGATCTATTGGCCAGCATATGCGGTATGATATATACGATATGACCGAGGGGAAAAAAACATAAGAATTGATTCAGAAACGTATACATCCTTTCGTGGCCCATTTCATAGTTGGTTTTGTCTTTTTTCACCTCTTCGTAATAATGCCGCGCAGTATGCACTATGACCTAGTAGGTCAAATCAAGGCTGATATACATGACATTTGTTAGGTGCTACATAGGACTGGAACACAGGCCATAAGTTCTAAAATGGGTCGAAAACGTGTCATGCAAATGTTTATTTTATGTACGACGTGCACTTGTGGTGCCAATACCTGCGCATGTCCAAACTTTAGACAAAAACGTAAGTTAGTCAACACATGTTTGCAACGCATAATACACGATAGCTGAGCAGGTGCATATCCTCAAGCTCTTTTGAGGACACGATCGCTTTCGCGTGATTTCGCGTCGTGTTGTGCAGTGACTGTTACATGTACTAAAGAGATGTGAGCTTGTTAAGTCGTCAGCGTCGCGGCAGCTCACCTTGCATAGTTCTCTAGGCGGCGCGCGCCAGCTGGCTGTTTCATTCACGGACGCGGCGAGTGATAGTGCGAGCGTACGACGTCGTACCCCGAATGCGTACGCTCAAGGACATTATTTCAGCTTTTCGGCGAGCTTAGCTACGTATTTCCAAGCGGACAATGCAGAAAAAAATCAACACGCACACGGCGCATTGTTTCGTTTGCTGCCACGGCGGTAGAGTTCTTGTACGTTTACGCTGGCTGTCCCAGCGTTCGATTCTGCGATCTTCGGGTTCCTTACACACGTGACCAGACGCTGTTTCCTGTTCAAACCGGAGCTCGCTGACAGGACCCTCTGGCTATAGCTGCCAGAGTGCTGAAAATCGAAGATCCCCATAGATAACATAGCAAAGTCTGGCCAACGCCTCCTAGGAAAACTATGCCTGGAACGTCGCTCTTTTTTTTCGATTGGGAGCCTCCTGCCAGCACGCAATCTCTGCGGCCATGCCTCCTGCCTGGTGTTGCGACCAGTCGCCGTGTGGGACCGCTCGTCTCCGTAGCGCTCAGTCACGTGACATACCTTACCGCACTGTCACGCGACACCACGGCTGCTCGGAGGCAACTGAGAGGGCATAGCTGTGTTCCCAGGGTCGGCCGTCAGAGACGCTCGCCTTCGTACCGAAGGAGGAGGGTAAAATCAGAGGGTAGAGCCGCGCGTTCGCGGCTCACGTTACAGGCATAATTTTTTCAGGGGGCGTTGGTCTGGCTCCCTGAGCGACGAGGCTTAACTACCCGAGCAACGAGTCCTTGACCTTTGTAGTGGGCCGCGTATATTGTGCTGGCATTTTACTTCTCTCCAACATTGTGCTCGCCGTCACTAGGCGGGAATGACGGCCATTTACTGTTCTCCGATATGTTGACGGCACCAGCTGCTAAAGTAGCGTCCAGCATGTTTCCCGGTGGTTCTCATTGTTTTGCTAGTGTCACTGGGGCGCCCGTACCTAACTACGTGCCGCTTCGCTGTCCTTCGCGCTTCATGGCGACACCAAGAGCCTAGGCACAGTCCATGGTGCTGAGATCGGAAAATATTCTAATAAAATCGTAAGTAAAAGACCGAACCGCAATTTGAGAGTTCAAAACATTCGCACATCCTTAAATCTTATTCGCACATTATGGGGTACATTTATATTGATATCAGAGAAGTGAGAAGCTTTGGATATTTACTTACGCGGTAGGATTCGATCTTGCCTTTGACTTGCTCATTCTTCGTCAGCGCCTTTTCCATGCAGTCCTTCGTAAACAGCTGCGGATTCCTTCCTTGGTCAATGTAGCTGCAGAAGACGAAGGTAAAACGTTAGCAAAAAAAAAAAAAAACATTAGGTCAGCTCAAGCCTGCTAACTTACTCGAACACTTCCAGTGGCACTTGTATGTTCTGGACTTGTGACTTGCATCTGTCCACCTCTTGCATCAAAGTGACGATGTGATTTCTGAAACAAACGTGATTTTGAAACGCCGATGTCACTTGCGTTCAACGATAGCGATCTCGCGAAGTGAGGCCACGTTAGCAGCACTTACATTTTCTGGTTTAGCGTGGTCTGACCCTGAGGCTGAAAGTCGCTAACAATTATCCCTAACTGCCGAACATTCTCTATAAACATTTCTAGATTTGTTTCTAGCGCTTCGAGTGGGGCGGACATCGCGACGCCAACGCCCAACGTTACGTCTGCGCCTTCGTTCACAGCGCCGGATTCGACTTGACATTAGACTCGACTTGGATGTACAACGGTTTGTGCTCGCGTAGGTAGTGGCGCTGGCAACCAACCAACAATAAGACCCCTGACAACGCCAAAATTTAAATGTAGATGTTCTAAAGCTTTTTTACAAGTAATACTAATATTGGTAATTTAGAATTATTTTGCGTTACTACAAAACGCCTGCCTAAATAACATAAGAAACTAGTGCTTCTAAGGTAGGGCAGCGTCACTACGGACGCTCAAGTTTTGGTGACGCTTAGTGGCGTTAGCCGCCGCCCAATCTAAAGGGTACAGCCATATCAATCTATTTATCCATCCAGCTGACGCTCAACGCGCAGTTTTCAAATGAGGAAACCCGCGGGTGGTGGAAAAGGATGTGGGTACTTTGAGCATGTCCCGCTCAGAAAAAAAAGAAGAGCATTCCTGTCGTAAGAAGCCAAAACCACTTTGAGAGCAGCCCAACAACAGAGCAAGAGGGGCGACGAACGATAGTCCTAGCCGGGTGCCTTTCGGGGTATTGCGCGCGCCCCGCAAATGTTCTCTCACGCCGACAATACTTTCTTGACCTCTGCGACGTCACGAGAGAGCCCCTGTCTACGTCAAACCACGAAAAGAATGCCGATTGGGCTTGAATACTCGGATGAACACGCATCCATACTTTAAAGCTGACATTATTAAAATGAATTTACAAAGCAACGCTCATCACTGATGCTTAGTCGGAAGTAGCCCCCGCATGCAGGACTATCAAACAAAGCAAGTATCTCGAGTTCCCAAATTTGATGTCAAGTGTTTTTAACCAAAACATTGTTAAATGTGACAAAGACCTGAAGCATTTTTATGTGCTCATGTTATATATGGCTTATGGCTACAAACAAATACTCAAATAAATATATTCTTAAATATTAGGAGCATCCCAAATATCTTTGTTTCGCTTCCTCTGTCAAGTTCAGTATGAAAACAAAGCTTAATGAGCGATCTCCTTATAAATTTTCTGCGAGGTGGTGACCTCAGAGTGGATACTGACATGAAGTCAGTACAAACCAGATCACTATATATCAGGTTTGACACAAATTACCACAGTATATGCCATGGTAGCTGTGAACCGTTCTACTTCAAGAAATCTAAGAATGTTGACTACCACCACGTGTGTTCATCACATCCCAGCTGGTCAAATATCCACGAAAGTAAACACATTTTACAAGTTTTTACAGCACATCATTATAATAGACTTGCAAAGTGCCACGCATAGTGAAAATGTGTTCTGTATGCCATTTTGTTCTCTCCTTCTCTCTTACTTGTCTGTCGGGACATGGCAGCATGGCTGCAAACAAGGTGGATGAACAATTCTGAAACTTTAGGGCGAATGGATGGATGGATGAAAAAACTTTATTTATACGTGCTGTAGCAAAGTGTAGCCACCTGCCTGGCTACTCCCACGTTGGGACTGGGAGGTCAAGCCTCCTAGCCCTGTCATGGGCGTAGTGGACAGCCAGGACTTGGGGGATATGGTCGCGAAACTTTATCATTCCTGTAAACCGTTCCCGGCCAAGCAACCCACATTCCCAGAGCATTATGCTCAAGTGTGCATACTTCTTTCTTACATGCTTTGCAAACAACATCCATATCTTTTATATCGTACCGTTCTTTTACCTGTGCCTGTGAGTAATAAGGCTGCGTCTGTAATTGTCTAAGTGTGACCGCTTGTGCTCTGTTTAGTCTACTGTGAGGGGGTGCAAACTCTCTCCTCCCCAGGTAGTAATGTTTTAGTAATTTCATTATATGTCACGGGCGTATCAAGTTGCTTGGTAGCATCGAGCGGCTGTGGCAGAGTATCAGACATATAAAGTATGAGATGCCAGAGCATAAATAAAGACCTGCAGGACACCTCAATTTTGTATGATCGATTAATGGGAATAATGAGTGTGTGTGAGGAAAAGAAACACGGCTTGCTGCTAGTGTCGCGATTTTAACTCACTGCGTTCGCAATTGCAGAAAGCCTATAGTGTGTGCTTCTCCAGCAACACTGATGCTCACTGCATTTCCTGGAGGGAGACTACTGGAAAATGTCGCCAGCGATCATCGCCAGCTCAAAGAGCCAGCTGTGTCATCCATATTTTTTTTTTTCATTTCGGAAAATCAAGCCCCAAAAAAAACCTTCTTGACAGTGAATGCCTTCCGCTATTTCTGCTTCCAAGATGGACTGCCCTGTGCTCCATCTGCCAGATGACACTCCACTGGAATCGGCCAGTACGAGATGAAAGCCCCACCACACAATATTTTGAATAACGATAATAATAAAATCTGGAATTTTACATCCTGAAACCATCATACGTGATCATGAGAGAAGTCTTAGTGGAGTGCTCGGTAATTTCGACCATCTGATATTCTTCAAGGTGCACTGATATCACACATTGCATGGGCCTCTTGTCATTTCCCCTCCTTCGAAATGCGACCGCAGCAGCCGGAATCTAAACCCGCAGCCTTCAGGTCGGCAGACGAGACGGGAGGCTGTAACAGACCACAATGTACTTCAGGAACATCCTTCTGCCAACCGGAGCGAAGCTCATGAGAGTGACTGCTGCACTGGAGGCACAACTTGCGGCAGCTGAATGCCAAGCGTCTAAGCAGCAGGCTGAACTAATCGAGCAGGTAGTGCAATAAAGCAAGGCTTGTGCCAAACCCGGTTGTTGTCGCATAGAGCTATAAACTGCAAAGAGTAAGTTGAAGCACATATAAGGAACGGGATGTAGTTCAAAATGAGTTGGTTACTTTTCAGCACTGTATGGAAAAATTAAAGGCCCAGTGTGCACATTCTGGTCGAGAAAAATTCGAAGAATGTGATGAAGACATACAGTTTTATACAGGACTGCCACACTATGAATCCTTTGCAGAGCTGTTGGACTATCTGGATTGTGCTGAAGATGGATGCAATATAATGCATTATGACCAGAATCCATAAAAATTAGATTTGCAGGGATCAGACACACAAAGTGGGTGTACTAGATGAACTGTTAATTGTCCTTATACAGTTTCGTCTTGAAGTGTTCCAGCAGCACGTTGGACATTTGTTCTCAGTACCTGTTTCCACAGTGTCTAGAGTATTTTCTCTCTGTGTGGATTTCATGCACCTACACTTGACAGCATTGACAATATGGCTGTCAGGGTGAGCTATTGACAAGGTGTTGCCTCTGGCATTTGCGGAAATGTACCAATCGGCTCGTGAGTTGCTCGATGCAGCAGAAATACGGTGCAAAGTGCCGTCATCATTTGGGATACCGTGTGACCTCTACTCCCATTACAAGTCCACTCAGGCACTTTAAAGGGCTGCTTGATGTGTCGACATACCGGCTTGTGACATTCGTCTCCGAGCTATTCACCGCAGGAGAACGTCAGACTGAAAATTTGTGAGAAGGAGTGGTTTTTGGACCTAGATCTCGACGTGGGAGACTGTCTATTTTGGCAGACAAGGGTTTTCGAATTGATGACCTTGTCGAGGAGATTGTGCAGACCTGAATGTTCTACTCTTCCTGCATCATGACAGATTTACTGTTGATGAGACCCAAATGACCCTGGAGATTGATGCCCTCCAGACTCATGTTGAAACAAGAATTCATTGAATTAAGTACTACCACGTATTTGATCGCCGCCATTACAATTTTATTGGTACCCTTGCAGGCTAACCAAATATGGATGATCTGCGCTATCTTGAGCAACTTTCAGTGACCTGTAATGCAAGATACTGAATCCAGTTAGCTTCGTTGCAGTTGTATTGCATGTTGAGCACTGTTTCATTTGGTACGAATTCCACAGACCCTAAGCAAAGAAAATATGCTGTCTGAAGGATATAAGCCTGAAAGGCCACTGACCAATCTTGTTGAATGTGGGGCCGTATACTGAGATGATTAATTTCAGCAGAACAGCATCGATTTGAGCTATGTAGTGTTTGACATGTTCAATAACAAGGTACTGCCAACAGAATCATAAAGTGTACTGGCTATCTGCGTTTTCGAACGTCCCATAACACAGCACTCTGTGTTCCCAGTCATTTTGCATCCTTGTTGTTTTCGTGCTATTAGCCTTCAAACATGCTGGACCAACATGTGTACTATACATGATATAAATTGTCACTTTATCATTTTTTGCATCATAATGCATTATATTACATGTCTGTATGCATGTAAATACCGAGTCTGTATGTCTGCTAACGTGTTTAATGTGTCGATTTATTTGCTTGGGTTTTTCTAGATGATGAAATTGTACACAACGATGGACGAGGTAAGCATTGTTTTAATTTTACACGGATAGCCACTTTGTATAATGTTACATCATTTTAGGACTACAGTTTCTTGACATAACTTGTTTAAATATTTAATGCGTTACCAGCCCGTTAGTTTACATATGTGAAATACCTAGAAGTAGGTATAAGTTGCTGCTAAGGCAGTGTGCCCGAACAAATGAACTTGTATCATGTAGAGCGGATTAATTGCTTATTCAGTAGGTGTGTTCTATTGTCCCCTTCAACTATTCCTATGCACCAGAAACAGCGCGATTCATACTCAGTTTCCCAGAGAGATTGATAACTTGTGCGTTGTGTTTTGAATATAAGTGCTTTGCGGGTGGGTAGGTGGGCAGCCCTGGTAGAGGTTTGAGATAGCCTACCTCCCTCTCTTCATACTCCCTTTGCACCGCACCTGGCCTCAGAATATGTATCTTCGTGAATCACTTAGAGTTCCTGATATGTCTATGGGCAAATAATGATTTCATTTTGGGATCTGCATGCATAACTGGGTCAATATGTTTGACTGACACAGCCTTTACGGTACACTTTCCACTATAAGCACTAGGACTGAGTTGTAATTGGTACCAGTTGCTAATTGGAACCAGTTGCAATTAGAATCAACTGGGATCACTTAGTTCCCAACTGAAACCAGTTAAGTTGAACTGCTACCAGTTGCTAACTGGAACCAGTTGCAACTGGAACCAGTTGCAACTGCGACCTGCGACCAGTTAGCTTCCAACTGGGACCAGCTGATACCAGTTAATACCAATTGAAACCAGTTTGATTCCCAGTTACACATTGTCACCTGGGATAGCTGTTTTATCTGATAATGTCAGATCAGTTTGATAAGGAGGCATTTCTTTCATACTGTCTTTTTGTCATTGTTTGACCATTAGAAAGTTTGGTGTAATCACATGTCACGTTTTGCTTGTTCAGGTTACTTGCTAAGGAAATGGAATCCGGCTCGACAAACGCTGTCAGAGAGGCCCTCGGAGATGCTAACCTTGTAAGATTGCTTGTGTGTTGATGAGGTTAAATTCGAATCTGCTTGTATCCAGATCCCCAATTGAATGTACCTTAGCCATTCAAGAGTTTGACACGTGCCTTCCTTGTTCTTCAATGGTTGCATGATTGTCACTCTAACAGCACCCTCTGCAAAAAGGCATGATATCATTTTTTATAACATTGAATGAAGTATCAACGAAACCAAAGAGTGCTGACCAAGATGAAAAGGTTTAAAAATTAAAAATTTACATGTCAAGTACAATCGCATAAATGTCAGTTTTTAATGTTTTCAACCTTTTTGCCTTGGTCAGCCCTTTTTCATTCTGTTTGTACTTCATGCTTTTTCCCTGGCAGACAATGTTTCGTCAAATCATCAACTTTATTATTGTGAACCTTTTTTTCAAATTTTAATACAAGCAATATTAGTCTGAAGGGTGCTTACGGCTCGACTGTAAGCACTATTTAGAGGCTTACAGTTGAGCACATCAAAGCATGACCTACACTAACAGAGATGTGTCACTGCAAAGAGTCCCTGCAAATAGTGCTGCTTGAAACATACAGAGAGTTGAACACAAGTTAACCTATGTTTTCAAGAATTACTCGCTTTCAAAAATCGATGTTCTATTGCTGATTAAGTGTTCCTTATTACAATGGCACAGACTGCACATTTATGTTGTATATTACAAGCACACAATGCTCTAGTGTTCACTAACAGTGATTTCGGGCAACTAATTGCTGCAAATGCTTACTGCAAATAGTGTCTACTTTGGAGCGTGTGTAAATTGACGCAAGTCTATTGTACTCCCATGCAGGAGATGTTCCTCGACATATTTTCGTACCTTGAAGGACTAAGGTTGAGGGATAAGGTCTCCCACGGCGAAGTGGACCTCAAGACAGTCAGCCAGAATCTAGTTCATCATGTCTTGCATCTGACGGCACTTACATGCAGCACTGAGCAACCTTCAGGTGGAGATATGGAGGTGCGTAGATTAGCCTGACTCCCATGAAGTTCATCTCTCTATCTGGCTATATACATGCATAAATACATGCATACATATACATGCGTATGTGCGTGTATGTGTGTGTGTGTGTGTGTGTACGAGTGTGCTTACGTACGCCAAAGCTATCTGCTTGAACTGGGGACCACTAGTGAACTAATATGGCAACCTACATTTTTGTTTAAAATATTTTGTGCCATATATTTATTTATTTATGTCAATACCTTCAATGCCAAAAGGCACTCGCAGAAGGATGTGATGGCTAAAATAAACTATGTACGTTTGTTCAGTGGCTAGTTCGAACAATACTTTTTTACTGCAGATTTAAATGCAGGAACACTTGGATTGGTGATGATGTAAATGAGCAGTTGGTCCTGTGGTGGCTTGACAGTCTCACAGCAGCGGCCAGACACCCTTTTCCATCTTTTTTAGATGCGAAGCATCTCTCGCTCGAGCCTATGTCCCGCGACTTCGGCAGCATCCACACTCACACTATGCATGTGCAGCTCTCCTCCTTCCCTCTCTCCAATTGCTGCGCGTTGCTCCCTTCTTTCCTACCACCTGCTTGCACTCGCTCACCCCTCTCTCTCCTCTAGTGGTCCTTCCCAGCGGCATTAACACTCCCATTGCTCATGCATGTCGCCTCCCCTCTCTCCTCTCCTATACCCCCTTCTCTCTCTCGCCTTGCAATGCCTACACAGGGGGTGTATGCTAACCTACGCTCGCTCCCCCCCTTTTCCTCTATAGCCATTCCTCCCCGCGGTGTTTACTCTGCCATCGCGCATGTGCGACCCTCTCTCCTTTTCTTTCCTCTCCTACGCTACCCCTCTCTCACCTCACAACGTCAACGCAGGCATGCAGCGTCTGCTAGCGATCTTTCTTGATTTAAAAAAAAAAAACAACTGTTCGTGCTGTGCATCCATTCACTGGCCACCCCATATAATATAAGCACTAGATCTTGACCTCCGAGGTATACTGCCAGTTAGTTAATTTTCTTCTGCGCATTCTCGAACAAAGAAAATTCTTAGCGTGCAGATTGACTAAAAGCGGACTGTGAATCTCTGTGTCCCTTCAGAGTCTTCTGTGTCTCACTGCCCATTAGCAGCCATTGGTATGTTCTAGTAGCAAACACCAGTCCATCACTGTGTGCTTTGCGTAAATTCAGGTTTCTCTGCTGCGCAACGGCGCTATGAGCGCTAGCGTCAACGTTGCTTCAAATGTAAGCATTAGCGCTCGCTGCTTTGCATCTACACATGGTTCTCTTTAGCGGGAGATGGAGTAATGCTTTGTTTTCAGTGAAATCTGATTGCGTTGTGTGTGAAGGTGCACGATTGAGCCGTAGTGGCTGTAGAGTAACGAAAATAATGTCATTTGCTGTTTGTCCTTCTAGGAATGCTCTATATATATACTTGCTTCTCTGTGCTGATTTTCAGCCACGCTCGCCTCCTGCACAACAGTTTCGTTCTTTGGCTGTCTTTGGTGTAAAGAATTCGAAAAAAAAGCTAGTACAACAAAACCGGACATCAATTTAGTACGAGCAGACAAATAAGATGGCTCGTTGATAAGTTCATTCTTAAGGTGTGCATTAAGAAAAATCTTGGGAAATAATGATAAACAAGACACTTTTCTGTCGAGCGGAAGATTAGGATGTTGCAGAGTACGTTGCACGGATCACTCACCAAAACAGTGGTAATAACCTGCATAAAAACACTACAGCTTTACACTGTTTCTCATTAGTTAATAAAGACTTCTGTAGTTCATTCCCACAAAACACCTGCATGGTCAAGCTTAGACCTTACAGGAGTTTTATGTCATGTTAATTTAAGAGATTATGGTGCCTTTGAATGTTATAGTGTAAGTAAATTAACATGCAGTTAGAATTACTATGTAGTTGATATGGGTTTGTCAAGAAAAATTAGCTTTTGTGTGAACAACAAGATAGTTAGATTTGAAGTCACTGTTGAGGGTATTTCACTGATTTGCTTGCTCTGAAATATTTTTTCAGATATTGTTTTTTTTTTCAGCCACATATCCCAGTTATTAAGTTGCCATCTTGCTGCTGTGCCGCTTTTAAAAGAAATAATCGAAGAGCCTTCGTTGCGTGAACATCAATGTATACAGCATGAAGTTTTAATTTTGACTTCAGCTGTAGGGGGGGGGGGGGCAACTTTGATTGATTGATATGTGGGGCTTAACGTCCCAAAACCACCATATGATTATGATAGACGCCGTAGTAGAGTGCTCCGGACATTTCGACCACCTTGGGTTCTTTAACGTGCACCCAAATATGAGCTCACGGGCCTACAACATTTTCACCTCTATTGGAAATGCAGCCGCCGCAGCCCGGATTCGATCCCGCGACCTGCGGATCAGCAGCCGAGTACCTTGGCCACTAAACCACCGCGGCGGGGCAGGGGAGGCAATTTTAATGGGATCATTTCAAGAATGCACTTCTATGAATAATGACGTTAAATAACCTTTGTTGGTCAAAATCATTTCAAAACCTATTGAGTCAATTTGTAAATCAGTAAGCTTTATGAATCAAGAAATGTAACTTCGCTGGTTAGGGCTTGAATGCCAGCAATGTATGTGTATTCAAACCTCGATATAATAAACCCTGATATAACAAAATATTGGTTGTAACGAAGTAAATGTAGTATAGTTTAGCAATATTTATTGTGTTAGGAATATACCATTACAACGAATTTTTGAATATAACAAACTTATTTTCATGTGAGGTGCAACTTTGTTATAATGAGGTTTGAGTGTATTCTCTCAAAGTACAAACAAACAATTAGGCAAAATGTGAAGTCTGAGCAGTGCAACTGTGTCTTATATTTTCAGAGTGGCTACGCTAAAGCATTGAGGAAAGCGTCACAAAGCTATCGGGCTCATTTTCACCCTGCTCAGCTTCTGTGGAAAAAGGTGCTGTCGTATCATGTTCTGATCTTGCTACATTTTGTAACGCACATTATGATGGTGCTACAGTTTTATACAAATATTTAGCAATATTTGTGAATGATACCATGCTATGTTCATGCGTCCTGCCACACTTATTGTACTTATCATCACAGTATTAAGCCAGCTGTCATGCCTCCACTTTTGGATTGTTATTACATGCAAGGCTTGTATGAATACTCGATAACATTGCATATTTGAATGAATATTACAGTATTGTAATTTGCTTTGATTTGAATTTAAATTGTTAAAAATTTCAAAACATTCAAAATGAATGAATACGTGTATATTAATCTGCATGTAATCTTTTTGTAAAGGTTGTTTCACTGCACTAAAGGATTGCTATACTGTGAGTTGACCCATCAAGGCAAAATCTGCACTGTTCAAAGCCCCACTTCAAAGTTCAATGAACGCATTACCCTGATGTTGACTCAACATTTTGTAAATGCGGAGCATTTTATAGTCGCACCTAGTTGCCAATCCGGCTTTGGCGGTACCATTCACACCCCCAGTGCGCATGCTCGCGTCTCGTGCCAACTGTTGCTCCCCCTCCCCCCTTTCTCACCTCGCCAGGCAGACGCAGGCAGCGTCTGCTAGTAATTCTGCTGTATGCTAGAATTTCGTAATAAGCATTCTTCCAAACTCGTCACAAAAGTAAACCTAATTGAAATGTGCATTGACTTCAGTTTGTGTTTTTGATGAAAACGAGAGAAGGAAGGAACGCATATAACCAAACAAGCTTGTGTACACCCCGTCTCCTCCCGAAAAACTACACTAGATATCATTAGCGATGTGTCTCTGAATGAACCTGTTGAAATTTATAATCGACAGATACAGAAGGCCACCACCAAGTTGCACCACCTTGGGACATATCGACAATCTAGCGAAGCCGTAAATATAAACTGGAATGCTGATGAAATAGATACCTGTATGCGTCTTCTGGGCACGAAATGGAATGTAAAATTGCCAAGACAATGGAGTTCAAGGTCTGCATTATTCAAGGCTCCGCCTTCTTTGAGTAATATGGTCAATTCTTCATTTTTCAGAATACAAAGCAGTGTCAGATTTTTTTTTTTTTTTTTTTTTTTTTTGCAGTCATGAAATTCTGGCACATAGTTTAACACCAATGTGAAAAACAGTGAGCCAGTTCAGATTGATAAATTTATCTCTGGAAAATGTAATGTTGTTAACTTCCCTATCATAGCATTCTTAATAGAGGAAAAAATCTAGGTCGAAGTCCCGTTTGTAAATTTTGTAAATCAACGGCTGGGTGTTATAGATTTCGAGCTTCATTTTTCATATTTGGATAATGTCGGCCTGATTAAATTTTTGAAGCTTAGTATGTCAAGTATATGGCACCCCAAAAGGACAATGCACTTCATCTTTGCTCATTAGGAACGATGTGGTTCCTTGTAGATGCCATCAATATCTGTGGCATCATGATTATTGCTTAGTAACTTCAACACGGCACTACCAGTAATTTCTTTTTAGCCGTTTTATTAGTTACCAAGCTTCTTCTTGTGGAAAGCATGTTTAGTATTGTAAAGGCGTGGCTTATTGTTGAGAGAAAAATCAGTTTACTTTTAGCATCCTTTTATATTCTCTACTGCTCAATATTTAAAGCATGTGTAGTTTCATAAGAACCATGTTCACATCAACATCATAATACGAATTTCATTTAGATGAAATTGAAGAAACTTTAGTAGAACTGATCACTTTTGAAAACCCCGCTAGCATTGAGTTCATGTGTTTTAGAATATAATTATTATTTCTCACTTGTGCGAGATTATCGCATCATCATACTGTTCTTCCTTCTCGCAAACATACTAGTTTCTCAAAAAGTATTTATTATATGTGTATCCCATTATTCTGCATTTACCTCCATATAGCCTTTGTTTGTACCGCAAGTAGAAATTCGTACTTTGAAATATAGATTGTTATGCACAATAATTGAACTATCATGCCACATAATTTCTTAAAAAGTGAGGATAATCTTGTTCTGTGAAAGCAAGGTGCAAATTTCAGTTGAGAGATAATACTTGAGGGATAAGTTGAGCATAATACTTTTGATGACATTCAATCAGTTGACTGTTATAATGAACTTGCAACTCTAGAATTACTGCTCTAAGTCTCAGCACATCATGTTAGGGCACCTTTTTTAAGGGGTTTCTAGCATTCGGTTCAACCAGGTGTGTTGGATATACTAGAACATAGGTCCACAATGTCACACATATTTCACAACCTTACCAGCAAATTTGATGTCTGTTGTACTGTGAGAGGTTTCGCGTGCATGGCTGTGTAATGTTGAATGCCGCCTGGATGGTTGCATTTGAGCATTGTTTCTGTGAACACTGGAAATAACAAGGAGCACAATATTTCAGTCTTCTTGCAGATATGGAGCTGCTTAGATTGTCCGTGGTCAACACCGTCCCTAAAACTGTGTTCAGGCCCAGGAAAGAACTCACAGTTGTGACGCTGTTAAGACGGATATGTGACGAAATTTGGTTCACCTTGGACCAACTGAATCGCACGTTGGCGTCGAGGACCAAGGTCTTCAACATGCGTGTGTTGCGGTCACGCCAGCGAGAAAACTTCACGAGGCTTCTAGATAGGCACGTAAAATACAGTGTTGTCAGTGCCAAAATCATCACCTAGTTGTTATAATCCCCGCGTTTTAATTACCCAGTCATCTGCTGTTTCTGCATCACACCAGCCACTTCCCTCTTGTGTCCGTAGATTCCCCAGTATCATCACACCCATCCCGTTCTCTGCCAACCTTCGATACATTTCCTGTTTTTTAGTGTCCATTCTATTACTCTAATTGGTCGTAAGTCATTGCCACAATCTGGATTACTCAACCTGTTAAGTAAGTGGTCAGTGGTAGATTAGTTAGAATGGAGGTTGCCAGTTCATGCTGCACAGCTTTAACTAAGCACAGTAGAAAAATAAACTTCATTGCAGGAATAAAACCTTGTGCAGGCTTACTACTTTTTCAAGTGAAACTTTTTATGAGCTGCAGTCACCTTGCATTGTTGCCTCAATATGAATACACAACTATTGTCATTGCCTGTGGCAACTGTCGCACTGTTGAGCACGTGGGAGAAAGTCATCACCCCATTACGGAGGAGGAAAAGTTAGGAGAAAGCATTGTGCAGTGCGATAGCAAAAAGAAAAAAAAAAGCATTAGGTCATGCATCAAGCTTTGCTTGTCCCCCCCAACCAGCCATTAGGGATGGTCTCCTGGATTTGGGGGCAAGCCATTCAAAATTCCAGAAACCTTCCCTGTAAATTCAGGAGACCTTCCCTGTCTCCTGAATTTTTTCATTCGCATCTATATTGCAAAATTCCCTCATAGTACTACTGTAGCTCGAAAAAAACAATCACCTGAATACAAGAACAAGTATGCGCCTACACACTCATTGCGAACTTACCAGTAGTGTTACCTAGTTTCAGCGGTGTTTTCCTTTTGGATTTCATTAAGAACAATGTACACCCAAATATCGACAACGAACACAGATACTATAACAAATTATCAGTTGCTACGAAGTAAGTGATTAATAGCTTTGTCAAAGATACAGTGTTGCAAATATATGTTTATAACGAATTTGGAGATATATCAAAGTATTTCATGTCCGAGGTGACTTTGTTATGATGACGTTTGAATGTTTGAACTTGGCACCTACAGTGGCCTCTTATTAAATGGAATATTCTAAACAGAACAGTTGCTTAACCCCTCAACCATTTTGGATGAGCCCGACTCGTCCTTGAAGAACTGTGCCTTTACCATTTTGAGCGAATGTGGGTCGTCTGCTTGAAATAATGGCCCCCACTAAGTGCTGAACAAGACTCGTTAGTTCACCAGGCTTCTTTGTGTGTGGCTTCACAGATGGCAGCATTTGCTTGCCTATTTTTTTATTTTAACATGCCATTTCACATTTTTTACTAGTGTTAAGAATTGTTTGTTCAGTGAAGGCAATGTGTGACATTTATCATGCATTGTCGCAACAAAAAAGCCTGTCATCATGCAGCTGTTCAGGTGCTAATTATTCAAATACAGAGGCTTTCTTCAATGACTTGACATGTTATATTCGCCAGTTACTGGACAGTAACACAATTTCGCAAATAGAGAAAGACACTAATAGGCCATGGGACGGTAACCTTTGTTACAGTAATACGAGTTGCTTTATGTTTGCTTCAATTTTTTAAGTCAGTCGAAACATGCTTTTTAGAAGTGAACGATTTGATATCATGCTTAAAAAAAGTAAACATCTTTATACAAAAATTCTCTCCAGAAATAAAGTGTTTGAGAGGTTGAATAGAACTCCCCATTGTACGATTGGTTTTATTTTTGAAATCTGCACCCCTGTTCACCTCTTCATAAATAGAATGCCTGTTTAATGAAACACTTTTTTGGGGTCCCTTCAGACACTGTTTAACAACAGTCTGCTGTATACCAGCTAACCCTGCTTGCTTTCTGTCGATGCTAATGCTTACTTACATGGTTCTTTGTGTTTTGATTATCATCTCCCATTCATTTGCACATCGCACGTCTGTTTGTGTTACTGTGTGGATTGTCGTAGCAATTGCCGCTTCTTTTCTTTTTTTCTTGGCAGTGTACCCAAGCTGTATGATGGAATTTCCTTAACTGTCTGGATAATGTTCTGCTGTGTTGTGCGAGTGAATGACACTGAGCTACTCGACGAAACACAGCTGGATAAACTGCTAAGGTAGGCTCTAGTATTTCAAGCTGGACTGGTTGATCTTTGTGAAGTGTTAGAACAGCGAAGAGTTTCAATTTTTTTTTTTATTAAGTGCTCTGTGAAGTGCTCTTCGCCTGAATCGACTCGTAAGGGTATAAAGAATTCATTCAGCAACATTACTTCAACTTAAGGTTACGACCTTAATGAACACTAGCCGATAATAAAGCCAAGGAATATATAGGGATCGTTGATTGTACTATTCTGTGTGTGACATCTGAAGGTCACAGGTTCAGTCCAAGCCAGCAGTAAGTGGCCTATCATCTAATTTATTTCCTTCACATCTGTATCGCAATTATCACAATATGCTAACCTTAGTTCAATTAATGTTCCTGATAGTTTCTATGTGCTTGTTATCTGGTGCTTTTCATTAAGGTTCTGTCAAAGAAATGAACCCTCGAAAATTTGAATCATTCATCATACTGAATCATGTGAGAGCATTGCTGTAACATTAAAATAGAACATTACCTTAGTATTGTCTCTATACATTGGCACAATGTTGCGGAACATTGGTGGGCATTGACGACATTGAGGAACCGTTGAATCAATAACCCTGCTACGATGCGGCACATCTGTGGACAGGCAGATGCGTTCTACCTAAGACAGCACAAGGTATTGCTCAAAATTCCAACTTATCCTTGCTTTAGCTAAGGAACTCGTGCCTCTGCACTGCTAGTGCACCTTTTTAAACGTACTCCTTCAAAGCAACCATTGTAGCGGCAGTCATGTATTCCTGTCAACTTGCATTGAGAATAGCAGACGCTTTCTGTGATCTTAAAAAGTTTTCTATTAATAGGCTCTGATATACTCTTTTGGTTTTCTATACACTCAGCATTTATTGAAACTTCAAACATTATTAACATTATATCAAACAATTAAATGCAAATTGAATTTCAGGGATAATATCTAATACGTGGTTATTTGTTACAATCTTGGATGCTTGCTGCTAAGGAGCCATATATATCTGTAATATTTTGATAACCTCCTTTGACCTTTTTTTCAGGCTACTAAAAGCACTAATGAAGTTTGTTGAAAACTTGCACTCTCAGACGTCTCCCACCCAAAATCGCTGGGACGAGTCCTGCAAGCTCTGCAAGGATTGTGTTGTGATGCTTCTGCGTCACTTGAACAGAGGACTCGACGACACTTTACTCTTCAATGGGTGACCTTGTATTGTGACATAGCATCTGCGACATCGGAACTTCAAATATGTGCTCGTGTGTCCCGGGGGTTCTGCAAGTTTTGGCATGTGCAAGAACTGCGCAAGTAAGATATGGCCAACCACATCTAGGTTAGTATCTGCACACAAGTAGCCTTCAGGCTTTATGGACACTCTGTAAGCCAGTGTATTGTAACATTTTAACGTGCTGTACTACTCAGAGTGAAGCCTTGTATTTATATTGTCATCTGCTCAGCCTTCATAATGTTTGATAAAAGGATATCAGCACTCAAGTACATAAAATAATGCAATTTGGGTAGCATCATTTGGGATCCTAGTCTAGCATATGTACTAGTCTACTGTGAGTTCCGCCAAAAAGTGCAGTGTTCAGTTCACTTTTTTTTTTTCTTTTTACTGACTCATCCTGCCAGTGTCATGCCCAACAAGTCATGCCCTTTCCAAATAAAAGAAAAAGTTATAGCCCTGCTTTGGCTGACGAGTCTAGTAAAATTCAGTTGTCTGTTTCAGAACATATACTATAACGCATCAGAGTTGTCAGATGCTGCCGAGCTAACACGCAAATAATTGTCACAAAAGAATTAATCCCCCCGAAAGTTGCGTGACTTTCGCCAAAAAGCCCGAAAGAAGCAGAGATAATTAAATTTCCCGTTATTCAAAAAGCTTTATTGCGATAGCGATTATACACTCTCAGCAAAGTTTTGCCGTCGCCGTCATGTTCCGGATATGTGCATACAATAAAAGCCACAAAGGAAAACATCAAATGGAAGAAATTTTCAAGGTGCATTATTGGGATGCAACACGTGACCCTGCTGCGATAGACAGCTGCGCCACCTACCGCTCCATCTTTGGAATGCTAACAGGGAGCATTTACCATTGGCGGTACACACATCTTTGGGGCGCTTCGGCGTGTTCAGTACCGCGCTCGAGATGGTGTGAAGAGCACGCTTTGAAGCAACGCTCCTAATTTCAACTTGTCTGAGACGCGCACTAAGAAAAGTATCCCACAACTACACCCATTCGGGATGCGAAAGCAGTGGAACACATTGCAAGCAATGCTTTGAGCACCACAGAAGGCGCAGAGGGGTCACCGCACGCGCCGCAGTGTTCAACACGAGCTGCTGGCATAGTCAACACTTGCAGCGTGCTGATGAAACGCGTAGTGGCAAAGTGGTATAGGTTCGCTTTGGATTCACGTGTTTGAATCCAAAGCGAACTTCTCTGATTTCAAATTCTGCATAACTGAAAGCCTTAATTGTGACTCCAGTAACGTAATATACATGCTACATTGCAACATCTGTGGACAAGAATATATCGGCCAAACAGACACGCCATTTCGGCTGCGGTTCAATAATCACCGGTACCACGCCACTTCACTGCCGAAGCTACCTTTATCTAGACATCTGCGCCTGCCAAACCACAGTTTTGAAAATATCAGCGTAACTCTTTTGCAGTCCGGTTTCTCAAACAGACGCGAGCGCGAACAGCGTGAGGCATATTTTATTTTCAAATTTCGAACATTAGTAGCCGGCATCAACGAGGACCCCGGAAACCTCAACTGCCTCCGAGAAGTAAGCCAGGAGGAAATTGGTGACAAAGATTGATAGCTGGAGACCATGCTTTTTTCTGACTGACTCGTACGTGTACACTGTCGTTTCTTTCTTTTTTTTTCCACATGCACATACAAAGTGCTTACCTTCGCCTACCACTTGATGACCATTGAAGGGAAACGGACGAAGATTAAAGGTAAATAGCCGACCGACCCATTAACGGGAATTCCTTCCTTTACGCACGCCGCCCGCCGACCGACCCATTACGGGGAAACTCCTTTCTTTATGCACGCCGTCACGGACCCTCCCGGCACCGCGGCGACAATCTTGGGTGGCCCGACACACGTCAAGAACTGAACAGCACGTGATATGAACCGTATGTGGATGTAGACGGACAGTTGGCTTCGTTCTCAGTGTTGACAGTGGTTCTTCCTCTTTTTTACTTTCTTTCTTTTCTTTCTTTTTCTTTTTCGTATTTTCTCCCCCTTTTTGTTTTTTTTTTCCTTTTTCTAGTTCCCTCTCACTCTCGCAAACATTTTTCAAGGCGAGAGGGACGCGGCAGCAACGAAGTTTGGAAGCTCATGTCAGTATAACTCATCCCCTGATGAAGGGAGGACCCCTCCCGAAACTGTTGGGAAATAAATATATTTATCCTTGTTGACAACGCTCCCGTTGTGCCATATCTCATACCTTCACGAAGACTAACTGGCCCATTGAATTATTACTCCCACTGACACTATATATATATATATATATATATATATATTGCTTTCGGTCTCAACGAAAATCCCGGCACCTTAACGTTCTTGCGCCAGTAATATGTCATGCGCATTGATCACCTTTTATTATTATATCCTTGAAAATTGTCCGTAACAGTGTAGGTGCTGTTTTTCACGTGTTAATCTCCTGTTATCGGTGTTTTTTTCGTCACCACATGAGCTGTCAATTGCTGTTGAATCTTCTTGTTACGCGAGTATGTTACTGACGAACAGTATGTTGATACATTTTGAACGCATTTTTTCCACGTGTATTGATTGTACCTATCTACAATCCATGTGACCAACTGGCATATAAGTGGTTACCATTGCTGTGTTTTGTTTCATTCTGACGAAGGCCGGGCCCACGGTCGAAACGTCAAGTAAAAATCTTTTCACTTGTGAGTCAAACTCCTTTTATTCTCCTATATATATATATATATATATATATATATATATATATATATATATATATATATATATATATATATATATATATATATATATATATATATATATATATATATATATATATATATAGGACCGAGTTGACTGGCTGAACATGGGAGAGGCCTTTGTCCTGCAGTGGACGTAGCCAGGATTATGATGATGATATATAGGCCGCTCAGCTGTGCGCTTCCTCCAGGCTATGGCACCGCTATCGCGAAGCCGCTTTAGTTTTTTTTTTTTAATTGATATTTCCGGGAAAACAAGCCCACCGCGTCCGTCGCGATTTTGTACATCCACGTTCGTCAGCCACGTGTTGCTCTTCTTTTTTTAAGTGCCGGTGGATATACGTTTTGCAGCAGTAGCTGTTGACAGAGGCAAAATACAGATAGCTATATGGAGCAGCGACGTACAAGATAATGATGAAAAAAATAAGAGAAAAAAGCGTCCGCCGCTTCTCTTGCAAAAGCTGACTGCGCCTGTCTCGCATGCGTCCTTCAGCGTTCACATACTCGATTCAGCAATACTGAATCATGTGTCACGTGCAAATGAATAAAAGGAGGCGGCACTCGATGGTGTTGCAATGCCGCCTACTAAAATACATTTGAGCATCGTGTTATGCCGTATCGGAATATAAAACGGCTTCGCGTAGAACTCGGGTCGCAGTCCGCACAGAGCAACCACGCCAACTATATAACACGCCTGTCGAAACCATCGTATAAACGAAGTACTAAAATTTTCTACTAAATGTAGTAGTAGTAGCAGCAGTAGTAGTAGTAGTAGTAGTAGTAGTAGTAGTAGTAGTAGTAGTAGTAGTAGTAGCCACCTCCCCGGCCGGACTAGAGGAGCAGCACGCGCGCACTCTTTTGAATTGAGAAGGAAATTATAAATAAAAATATAGTTGTTTCTGATTAAATAACCTACAGAGACGAGTATCGGTGACTTAATCTCCCATAAAATTTGCCTTGAATTTGATGCTCACTAAACAAAACTAGTAACAGAAGGACGCACTTTGAGGAATACCTGACCAGAAACGGGTGTCACGTTAAACTCGCTGCGCGTAAACTCCTTGATTTTAGCGAGATTTAGCGAGGGTTGGACCGCAGTGCCATGAACTAGTGGTGGTTAGAGCTGGGAACTAGACACGATGCGCAGGCCGTAAGAGAGTCAGACACATGGACGCACGGACGGACGGACAGACAGACAGACGCACACACGGATGGACGCACGCACAGACGGACGCATGAATGACGGATGGACGGACACACAGAAGGACGTACAGACGGATGGATCCAAGGACAGGCAGACGGAAGTACGGGTGCAGGGACGGATAGACGCATGGACGGACGAAAACAAAAACGAACGCACAGGCAGAAAAATGGACGGACTGACGGATATGCTTCGCCCCACTCATCATCATGCGCTCCGTGAATATGCTGCAATTTTTTTGACAACCATTGTCAACAGTATATTCTACTTTCATTTGATTAGTGAGGGGGCTTGAGTTTCATGTTGGGCTCAAGCCAATTGAACGCTGCACGTAACATCTACGTACGTACACAAAGTCGAATTGTTCAGTGTTCTTTTAAGAGCTAGTAGAATAGCTATTCTACTCTATTGTGAATAGCGAGGATTGGTGCTTGAGACTTACGTTGAACACAAGCCAAACACTGCATAGAACGTCTGCACAAAGTGTGATTCGACAGTTAAGGTCGATCGTATGCCTCAGTGCACTGTTGTAAGTGCTACGAACGTGATTCATCTTCAACCACTATGGAACAACTAGTTCACTTTCTTCTGATTAGCGAGGATTGGTGTTATAGCTTCACGTCGAGCTACGCCAAACGCTGCACAGAACATCTGCACAAAGCGATTCGTCAGTCAGGCCAATCGCATACAGCAGTTCACGACGACCAGTTACGACAATAAATGAGTTCGTATCTTTGTTTGAAATTGTTTGTCACCTCTGTGTTTGTGTTGACCATTCATATTTCAAGTTAAATGGCTTGGAATTTTATTAATATTCTCGGAACCAATAAGCTTATCATGCGCGTCACCATTTGGCCCCTCCACGGTCATCGGTCTATAGTCCTGGTCTTTCTCTGCGCTGCAGGGTGCACATATGCAACTTTTGCAGCAGCAGCATTTAACATATAAAAAATACAAATAACTCAGTGTAGCGGTGACGTGAGAGATAAATACGGTATACAAAGTGAGAGAAAGAGAAAACGCACGCTGCCACCATAACGTGCGTTGCCCCTGAAATCAGCATTTTCCTTATGCGCCCATATCCGTTTCAACCGAGTATAGTAACAATTGGGGCACCTTGACGTGTTTCCTGTAAATTACAAGTTTCCTGCAGATGCCCCCAACTCTGGACAAATTTTATTGCCAGATGAAGTCATTAAGACTGCTGATTTATCAGTAGATCTACTGATCTTTAAAACTTTCTGCTGATTGAGTGATAATGTGTC